CCAGTCGTCAGCCCCCCCTGCACTGCCAATACTACTGGTGGCTTCTTTGAATCCAGAGCATGTGGGATTGGGAGGTGGGGCCCCACACAGGCCAATTTGTCCTGCACCCTGCTCAGGTCATCTCTGCCAACATGCACCAGCTACAAATAAAACGTTCCAACAAACTGGTTTTACAAGAAAATTGAAGTAAACAAATTGACCCCCTCCTCTCTCACTTACCAATGAATGCATAATGGTGCTGCTTCTTTTCAAGTCACATGTCACAAAGCTGCACTCATCCAGGGACTTGAAGATTCCCTGAACCCCAGTTCTTCAGCCTGCAGTATTGTCGAATGCTACGGTCCCATTTTTTTCTGCCTCTGGTGTTTAGCCATGTCTCATCCACCTCCCCTCACTCATTGATTCTGAGCATGCACAGTGCGACCACTATTCCCCAAAATTATAGGCCTTGAGTGGAACAGGTTCCTCTCCCCCTCCCACCTGGCCTCGTTTTGGTGTGAAAAAAACCCCAGACAGTCTGGCACCAGGCTAGAAAAGAGCTCGAAAAGAAGGCAAGAAAAGTGGGTAGGATAGCTTCGTGTGTGAAAAGTTTCTGGGTTTTGTACAAAAGTTCTTGGGTCTGTACAGGGCAGCCAGATGCAAGCCCCAGAGGCAGAGCACACTGGCCAGGCATCAGTCCCTGTGAGGGACTTCGCAAAATGTCTGGCAGCTTCCAAGGCTAGATTTTGTAAGCAGCACAGAGACCAAGGAGATATCCTCAAGGAGAGGCTGGTTGGGAGAAGCAGCGCAAGTGTGGGATTGCCTAGCAGCATACAACTAGCAGTGTATACTAGTTTACAATTTACATCTGTGTCTGTCTGTCACAGGTGTATACACCTCTCTTGGGGGCTGTGGGGAGGGGCAGATGGCTGGATAGTATACCTCTACCTGGGGCTGGAGGGTGAGCAGGGCAGATGTGGACTGAATGTACCGGGGGCGGGGGGCATACTCCACCTGAAGTCCAACAGCAACCCACCATTTCAAAAACATTTCACAACACCCACTCCAAAAGTCACATGTCGCACTGCAAAAACAGATTCACAGTGGAACTTGGGTGGGGAAGGCGGGCAGGGAGAGCAGCACCATTGACATACGTCCAGTGTTTTCCATGGGGATGTCTCCATAGAAACTGTTCCAAGCCCTGTCAGTTTGACAGTGCTGGGAAATGTAATCCTAAAAACCCACAAGCACCACCATCAGCCGCATTTGCCAAGCAACACTCACCCACTAATCTAAGCCTCAACCATAGGGTCACATACTGGGAGACCATCTCAAGCCTAACTGGGTGCAAGTGGCAGGATTTTGCCGTGAATGTGCCCAGCTGTGGGGTGCAGGGGGGAGGGGGAGACTTAGCAGGAGACTCCTGGTGGGGGCAAGGGGCAGGGACTGTGGAAGCCATTTCACATGTGCCTCCTGCTGTAATTCATTAAGACAGACATGGGGGGGGGGGGTAGATTGGTATTTGGCTCCCCCTGCTGGAATCTGCGGAGAATGACACACAGGACCGACTTTGCTCAAAAGAGCGTGTAGTTCAAACACAAATACGTCATGCCAAATTAACCCAGGCTAAAATTTTAAAGGCACGGTTAATTAACAAGGACTAAACATCATGTCATCTACAAGAGCCCTACAGAGCTCAGACAGCAGCCTAAAGCTGCCCCCAGGTCTGAGTCCAGCTCCTTCAGTCCAGTCCTGGCTGACTGAGCAAATGAAATCTCCAGCTTCACAGTGCACTTCTCTGTGTAGAGCTGACCAGGTTCTACATGCACACTGCTCTCTTTTCCTCTTACTTTAGCTTCAATCTTCCTCTTCCTTTTTTCCTTGTCCCACCAGCCCCTGGGGGTTTCTGAGAGTTGTAGTCCATAATATTAGTCAGCACAGCTCTGCAGACTTTCCCCTGGTTCCTCCTGCTGTTACACACATTATATTCACATTACAATGTCAATATATATTTTAGATCATTAAATTAACTTTTATGATCTGACATCCAGGCCCAGTCCATGCCCTCATGAAGATGTGAGTTGTATAGTTGAGTATAAATTTGCTGACATAATTCAACATTCCTAGAAATCTTTGAATTCCATTTTTTTCTTCAAGTTTTGCCATGCTCAGTATTTCCTAAATCTTTGAATATCAGATAGGAGTCCCCTTGAGATCATTCACTTACCCAAATATGTTATTTCAGTTTCAGACAACATTGACTGAAACATATGTATTCCCCATGTACATAGATGCACCTTGGAAATTTCCCAGGCTGCATTTTTGTAAGAGAATAAAGCTGGAGTTTCCCACTTGCAGAGATACACCCCAGGAAATCTCCAAGGCACATCTCTTGAAGAAGGTAAAGCTGAGGTTTCCCATTCACAGACACTTAATGTAATGAGGTTGTGGCAGGCCAGTAGGGGGTGTTCCTGTGCTAAGCCACCCACCTCACTGCTCCCAACCACCTTCCAGGCTCTGAGTGCCTCCCTGGGGGCACCTCACATGTGGCCAATCCCCTTCCTGGAGCACACCCGCAAGCCTGGTGGTAATGCTGCCACCACCCAGGGTCCGGACTGATTTTGGCCTTGTGCCCCCTGGGAAACACAGCCCTAGTAGTCCTTCAGAGGTACTTGACCCACTGAAAGAACTTGGGGTGCTTCCCTCACTCTGAAACACAAATAGTGGTCTCCCTTAGTCAGCCAAACCAAGGGGACCCCAAGGCATAATCTAGACCCTCTCCCAATGAATCTCCCATGCTAGGTACAGAGGAGAAATTTATTGGTTACAAGGAGTAGGTTTGGAATAGAGTACAGGGTAGAGCAATATCAGAGAAATCCCTTAGAGCAAACAGTGGCATGGTAGCCTTTGTTCACACATCTGAGTTACTGCAAGCTATATATCTAGTTAGATCTCAAGTAGCTTACTTACAAGTATTATCTAGAGGCAGGTGGAGATTCCTTCTGGAGGCAAGCAGTTCACTGGACATGAGTTAAGAGAGAGAGCAAGTTTTAGATGGTCCAGCTTCTCTGAGGGTCCTCATCATGGCTGGCACCCCTCCTCCTGGGCAGTCTTAAATTTATATAGACCCTATGACCTCATTTACCTGATCAAATGAAGGCCAGTAGTTGTTGGCTGCCAGCCAACCAATTTGAAATGCATCACTGGCTGCTAGGTAGACTGGCAGGGTCTCTAGCCTCCCTCACAGTCCTGATGTCATTGCTTAGAACACTAGGGAGTTTAAGACCCCACCCAGGTGTGTGAGGCCAGTCACATAGGCAAAGGAAGCAGGTTCCTCCTCCCTCAGGAATGTAGCCAGCTCAGGTTACAACTCAGAGTTACCTGAAGCAGATGGGTGACCATGGTAACCAAATTGTCAGATAGATAATTATCAGAGTTTGGGGAAAGACAGAGATGGTATTCTGCCACAAAGGTCACATCAAACCATTGGACCTAGCTAGTCCTAATTAAGAGGTGAAGGCAAGTCATCCCCCAAACAGGTATCACCTGCAGCAAACTTAGAGCTGTGCCCAGGGTCCTAGCTGAGATGAGTGAGGCAAAGCCAGTCCCCTGAAACCACCAGCAGCAAGTCCCACCTGATACAGCCCCAAAAAGCCAGGCCCAGCCTGCAGTCTTCGTGTCTAGGCAAAGGTGAAAGTTTTCACTCCTGACCTTCTGTGTACTTCCTAGCTGGTTTTCCAGTTCTGTCTCCTGGGTCCAGCTCTGGCTTACAATTTTGGTTCTTGGCTCTTGATTCTGGTTTGACCTTTAGCTCGGGCTTTCATCTCCTGATCCTCAGCTTACCCTGGCTTTGGCTTTTTGACTCTGGCCTGTTTTGATTTAAGCTGTGGCTCCCAAATCCAATTCTGAGACCAGACGCCTCTGCACCCCTTATTTCCTGGGGAACTGATCTGCACTACATCCATGCTTTGGGTATCTAATCATTAGGCCAGGCTGCTTGTGTCCCAGTTTCCTAATGTTTGCCCTGGAGATTTCCCAGGGTGCATCTCTATAAGAGGAGAAATCCAAGGAAATGCTCCTGGGGCTTGAGGGGACTGATTCTGGGTGGGAATTCCCAGGATGTGTGGGATTGGCCCCTCAAGTTCTGTCTTTGATGGTTGGAGTATGCAGGAAGCTCAGAGCTGACCATGTTCTTCTGCCATACACCTAACAGCCATCCCCTACAAAACAACACCACAAACTGAGACTACCTATGTCTTGGCCACACATTTTGGGAGGTTTTGGTGTGACAGGTGGTATGGACAGCTGTTTGTTTTCTTGGCCCTTATGCTACCATAAAAAATTCTTATGGTACCACAAAGGCAACATCTGTTTTCATCCTGTGTCACAGTTCCTACAAATCCAAACCACTGATTTGTCTCTTTGTAAGGCAACTGTGCTGTACCTGGGTAACTAGGTCAGCAACACTCAACCCCTTAAGTTGGACCATCTAAGCCTCAGCCTGCCGATTGGTTCATGGGCTGCTCTTAAGGAGCTCTGACAGCATCTGGCCCCTACTGTGCAACAAACAGGCCTCAGTCTGTTCATAGCTCTTATCTGTGTGACTTCCCCAGTGCCTGCTCCT